GCAGAGGGGGCTGCCTGAAGCCCAAGCGCTACCGGCTTCACGGTTTGCCAGGCAGCCTCCAGACCCTGCGTCCCCAGCTGGGCGCTTCCCCTCCCGGGCTCCAGCTGCGCTGGGGAAGCGCCGGCCGGGGGCGCAGGGTCTGGGGGCTGCCCGGCAAACCGTGAAGCCGGTAGCGCTCGGGCAGCCCTTTCCGCGTGGCTGGGAGTGGGAGGGAGGAGGGGGCGGAGTTAGGGCGGGGCTGGGGGTGGGGAAATGGGAGGGGCCAGGGGCCGTGGAGGGTCCTCTTTTTCTATTTGTTAGATATGGTAACCCTAACTCCTCTTTCCCTGCGCTGTGTCTGGTTCTCTTACTTGTGCCAGGCCTCAGGTCGGCCAAGGACAGAGCCCCGTAACTAAAAAAGGACAAGGTTGCACCCTGCTCCTGCCCCTAACTCCCCCACTGCCGCCCCCGCCATTCTAACAGTGCCACGCAGTGCCTCCAGCCTGCTGCTTCCCCTTCCCTGGCTATGCTCTGGGGCCTGTAGCAGTAACCCCCCAGTGCAGAGACAGCTCGAGCAATGGTAGTGAGGTTGACAGAAGCAGTCGCTCATCAACCCCGCTGTCTCTCTCCTAGGAGTAGGGCAGCATAGCTGTGTCGCTCACACATGCAGATTGTTCTCAGCCCTGAGCCAGGTGGCTCTCGTGACCTACATTTTAAGCGCAGACCAGATCCCAAAGTGTGCTACTCTGGCCTCCTGAGCCAGAAACGCTTCACCAGCCGGTGCATCTTGCCTCAGCGTCAGCATAGAAACCCGGGAGTTCAGTGCTGCTCTGGGCTGCTGGGTTTGGTGGGGCATCGGGTGCTCAGTTAATAAGGAGAATGATGGGTTTGGTGACTGCTGGCCCATCAGCCGCAGCCTGGGAGCAGAGAGTCCAGGTCCCTAGTGATACCCGGGCCAGCAGTGTCTCTGCACAAGTCCCGATAGATTCTAGCTTCCTCTGCTGGGGCTGGGCGGGCGTAAAAAGCAGCAACCCCGTCTTGTAGGCCCTGTCCATGCATGGTGCTGGCACTGGTTGCAGTAACGCTGGATATAGGGCAGGCCCCTGTGTGGCCACTTCTACTCCTGTTAAGTGAAGTTAGGTAAATGAACCTGAAACCTGATTTACTGGGTGCCAGTCGTGTGTGTAGAGCAGCTGCTGGGCCCCACAGGCGGCAGGGCTGGGCTCGGTCCCTGGCTGTAGACTAGAGTCATGTGTTGCCAGCAGGGGCAGTCCAAACCCGTTCGCAGTGGGTGCAGGGGGACTGGCTGGCGGCAGGGGGGCTCAGGGCCGTGTCCTGGCCGTTTCTCCCTTTGCATCGGTCCCAGAACGGCCTCAGCCGCAGCCCTGCCAGCTGGATTCAGTTCTGCTTTGCACTCATTGGAGTGGGCGGGTTCCCTAGTTGTTCCCACCCATGCACAGGGGAGCTTGTTCGTGCAGCTGGAGCGGGCTCAGAGGGGGTTAATGTTTGTGGCACAGCAAAAGGAAAGCCAGGCTGCCATGTTAGCGTGACCCAGGCGCTGAATCCCCCGGAGGGTGGACTGGAAGCAGCAGAGTGACCTAGCAAGCTCCACTAGAGGCAGCTGCTTCTCTGCGACGGCGTCTCCTCTTCTTTTCAGACAATTGCCTGAAACCCAAGCCTCGTTTGAAAAATGTGGCCACCAGGCGTGCCATTTCCGTTCACGAAGAACAGCTCAGGGAGCAGGGCTGCACGGCCGCTCTGGAGAGTAAGTGTGGGGAGCGCCCGAGGGCCTGAGCTCTTCCCGACGCAGGTGTGTCCGGGGCGTGTGAGCACCACCTGTGAGCTGCTGCTCGGTCGGCTCCCTACATGAGCGCAGGACAAGAAGCAATGGGCTTAAATTGCAGCAAGGGCGGTTTAGGTTGGACATTATTCCAGTGCTTAACCACCCTGACAGAAATTGCCTGGGGAGGTTGTGGAATCTCCATCATTGGAGAATTTTTAAGAGCAAGTTAGACAAACACTGTCAGGGATGGTCTAGATAATACTCAATCCTGCCAGGAGTGCAGGGGACTGGACTAGACAACCTCTCGAGGTCCCTTCCAGGCCTACGAGTCTATGGTTCTGACCTGGTGTAATTCCTGTGCACCTAAATGAAACACTCCTGAACTGGCAGAGGCATGCTGGGCCTGAAACAGAAGGGGCTGATTTTCCCACTGGGTAGCAGTGCACATGGGTACCTAGCTGTGCGAATGCAAACTGGAGTAGCTGTGTGCCTCACGGATCCGCGGAGCATGCACTCGAGAATCATTATGGAGGCAGAGCTGCTACCCAAGTGTGTGTGCCTGTGTGCCCTGAGCCAGTATCCCCCCGGAGCAAACAGCTCTGAAACCTGTGCGTTTAAAAAAAGCAAGTCACTCAGCTGAGCTAAGAAACGTGCCAGACCAGGTCCCCAGCCTAGGGGATGTTTCGCTCACGCCCAGCACAGGGGTTAGGTAGGGATGCTGTGGACTGCGGCACAGCAGCGACACTCACTTGGTCTGTAAGTGCGCTCTGAAACCTTGCGTGTGTAACCCATGTGCCTAATAGGGAGCTATCTCTAAGAGACCCACTGGGGAGAGGTAGGAGTGAGCTGTGTCTGGGTCATTATTATTTTTTTTCCAGTCAGGAGCATTTCCTTTATTTACGTATAGAAAACATTTCCCCCAAGCATCATTGTTGCTAGGCAGATTAAGCACTCCAAATCCATAAGCTTCTGGAATTGGGTGTGTAGTTTTGGGTCTGCTCCCATAGGTTCCCTGTTGCTGGGGTCACACTCCCTGAGGGTGAGCAATTTGTAACCTTTGGGTGGGCTAGAGTTCACTTCATTACCCTTCTCCAGTGCCTACAAACCTCCCGACTCCCATATAGAAAGTAGCTGGAGACCCAGAGTTCAGTCTCTAAGGATTTTCAGCAAGGATCGCACAGGGTCAACCTCCCCACATTCAAATCCAAAAGAAACCAAAGAAATGAATTTAATTAAATAACTTTATAAAATCTTATGATAAAGAAAAATAATAATCTAATTTTTACAACATGACATGGCTATGATATAACCACAGACATTACTTTCACAGTCTAAAATCCTACCTGCCACATGGGGCCACAACAGTGGGACCCCTAACTCACCCAGCAATATTGTCAATTTATCCAACTACACACTTAACCCAGGAGAAGAGTCTGTCCTATCTTGGGGATTCTCTTTTTGCCCCACCACCCCCATAAACATGATACAGTTCTGCGGTGATCTGGAAGCCTACTTTCGCCGCCTCCGACTCAAAGAATACTTTCAAGAGAACACTGAACAGCGCACTGATACACAGATACCCTCCCACCAACAACACAAGAAGAAGAACTCCACATGGACTCCTCCCGAGGGTTGAAATGAGAGTCTGGACTATACATAGAATGCTTCCGCCGACATGCACAGGCAGAAATAGTGGAAAAACAACATCGCTTGCCTCATAACCTCAGTTGTGCAGAACGCAATGCCATCCACAGCCTCAGAAACAACCCTGACATTATCATCAAAGAGGCTGATAAAGGAGGTGCTGTTGTCATCATGAACAGGTCTGACTACCACAAGGAGGCTGCCAGACAACTCTCCAATACCAAATTCTACAGGCCACTTTCCTCAGATCCCACTGAGGAATATACTAAGAAACTCCACCATCTACTCAGGACACTCCCTACACTAACACAGGAACAAATCAAT